CCCACAACCCGTGAACAGCAACAACGAATTTCAGTAGCGTACCAATCTGTTCTGCAATTTCCAGCTCTGATTTCTTCCTCTCAACGACTCTCGACGTTGGCCCACACCCGTCTGAAGTCCGATTTGAGTAACCCACATCCTTCGACATTGATTTGGAGTTGACCCACCTCCTTTTCAGACTCAAATCGGCATTACTCATCGCTTTTCATCATCGGGCCAGCAAGCATAAGGTCATTCAAGCTTGGTTTTGGGCGCTGGAACATCCTCGACGTCGACCCACTCCTAACCCAAGAGGTTTTAGGGGGAGTTAGTAGGTAACGAATCACCTGAACATAGTTTCGATGCAAGTTAAGTAATTGTGAGTTGGATTTTAACCTGAAGCTTGGTCTATTTCGATTTAGGAACCCTTCAGCAAAGTTTAGGATCGTTAGGACCTTGTGTAAGTTGTCCTTACTTGAGGGGATTGTTTGCTATTTTGATTGTGGATCTATGATCTTTTGAATGATTGTTGCGATTGATGATACCTTATAAATGTTGTTTATGATATAATTGTTGAGTAACATTTGGAAATACATGTAGGTGTGGGATATACTGTATTATGAGCTATATACATGTTGGATGTAATATTGGTTGGCAACGTTGGATTGATGTTATGTTCTGGTTGGGCTGAATGAGAAAGTTGTGTTAACTGTTTTGGTTCTATGATTTGTTGTGTTTGGAGCATGCTGACTTCGTTGTGCGACTCGCATTTGAAACTGAACTATTGAGAACTTGTTTGATAACATGTTTATTAGCTTCCTTTTCTGAATTCAAAGCATGCTAAATGTTAAGAGAAATGTATTCTTGTGATGCTTGATGACCATGCCTGAATGATAGTTACATATGTTCGTGTATAACGCATGCTGCATTGTTGTGAAATAATTTAAGCATGGGTCATGGCTTAGAAACATGTAGGATTCTGGTAAGAGTTCTGGGATGTAATGAAGTGAATGGAAGACTAACAGGGACAGAGGCCTGGCACGTCACTAGTTAGGTATCGAGGCTCTAGGTGCAAAGGTCGAGGATCGATACCCCAACTTGGTAGAGATGAGTGTCGAGGCTCCGGGTATAAAGGTCGGGATCGGCACAGTGATTCTAATTGTTGAATTAGTATTGGGTCTTGATGTGGTGGCGGTCAAGGACCAATACATTCTCTAGTCGTCGATGCCCTGGGGATAAATGTCAAGGATCGATGCACAGTTCAAGGCCTTGGGGATAAATGGCAAGGTCGAACGCCAAACTTCTGTAGATGAGTGTTGGGGCCTTGGGGATAAATGGCAAGGACTGATACGATTCTAGGAGTTAGATTTGGAGGCCAAGGACCATTACGTTTAGTAGTAGTTGAGGCCTTGGTGATAAATGTCAAGGTCCAACGTCGAGCACCGTAGAGAAGTGTGGATGCCTTGGCTATGCGAGGTCAGGGGTCGGTACAACTCGGAGGAGTAAGTCTTGGAGGAATTAGGAAAGAGAACTAGTGAGTTGAGATGTAAGGATGATTTTGACATGTATCGTGCATGTTTAGTTAAACTTATGCATAAATTGCTTCTTTTAATATGTTTCTTTTTATTTAAGGCTTGAAGTTAATGATAAGCATGATGTGTTGATTCTTTGATAAGCATGATGTGTGGATTCTTTGCTAAGCATGCTGTTTGTGCGTGACCCTTCAGGTATGTACTGCTTACTAGGTACTGTGGTTGTACTCACCCCTTATTTTTCTCACCAGACTTTGTAGGTAACAGGGTTACTCTTTGGAATGGTGGTGGCGAGTAGGAGGCTTGACCGGAAAGACCATTAACTGTGCTGCGTGCATTTAATTTATTTTAGTTAGGATAGTTGCAGTTATTTAATCTTGTAGTTGAGTTGTTAGTGGTTCGTTTTGTTTAGTTTTATGGTTTAAAGGATGTTTTAAGGTTTTCAATTCATTATTCTTTTTAGAACAGTAATTTTGTTAGCTTTTTGAACTATGGGACTGTAACCTACTTAAGATACTTATGAATACATTTGTTTAAGTTGATCAAACTTGAGTTAGCTTTTGCTTCGTTGCCATTCGAGATGTTAATATTCATTTAGTGGATGATTTATGGTTAGTAAAGGTTTCCTTGAGGAGTTTGGATAATGTGAAGTTGGTATTAAATTGATTATCTGTAAAGGATTTAAGTTTCTCTTAAATCTTGAGTGTTGTTGTTTTGTTTGTTCAAGTTCTTGTGAGTGTTGAAATCAGAGTAGCGCAAAATAAGCATGGTGGTTTTATTGTTTAGTCTTGTTATGAAGTTAATTCTCTTGTTTAAGTGAAAATTTTAGGTAGTCTTAGTAACGGTCTCTGTTTGGAAATTTTGAAAATCTTGGGGCGTTATAGTCTCTATTTTCCGTCTCCGGCCGACTATCTCTGCATTCCTTCGCCTCCGCCACCATCTGGGTGCCTCCTTCTTATCTCGCCGCCGTCTCCGTTATTCTTATTCAAAAACTCGCCGTTTCCGTCTGCTCATTCGTCTCCGGTCCCTCTCCATTGTCGGAGCAGTTCGTCTCCGTTTATGCTAATCGAAAGGTTTGCATTCAAATATATCATAATAGTTTTCTCTTTCAGATTTGTATAATATTGAAAACCCTTTTTTTGTACTTTAAACCCTTTCAATGTTCCTTCCATGCCTAAGTAGTCTCCCAAAAGTTGTTTTCGATTTCTGATTTAGTGTGAACTATTGAATATATGAGGATATAAGAAAGTTTTTATAGAATTTAGTTTATATCCGGATATATCTGAGGGTTGTAGTTGGGGAGGGAGTTGCTAATAGTGATTTTAGGAAGTTTATATGGAATTTAGTTTATATCCGAGGGTTGTAGTTGGAGAGTGAGTTGCTAACAATGATTTTAGGTACTTTATATGGAATTTAGTTTATATCCGGATATATCCAAGGGTAGTATTTGGAGAATGAATTGCTAACAGTGATTTTAGGAAGTTTATATAGAATTTAGTTTATATACGAATATATCCGAGGGTTGTAGTTGGAGAGTGAGTTGCTAACAGTAATTTTAGGAAGTTGATATGGACTTTAGTTTATATCCGGATATATTCGGGGGTTGTAGTTGGAGAGTGAGTTGCTAACTATGATTTTACACTCAATGTTATGGGATACGAAGCTCACCGGTGAGAAGATGTTGGGCCATTACAAAAGGGGAGGGAATGACTTTGAATTAATCTTTTTAGGAGTAAATTGTGGTTTTGAAGGAGTGAATTAACAGATTAGTGTTGAAATTTGTATGAGGTCCACAATAATTAAAGAATTATGATAATAATTTATGGAATTAAATCTTTTATATTTAAAAAAAATAAATAATTATAATAAATGTAAATGCAATAAATAAGGGTAAAATTGAAATTAAAATAAATTCCTACCTGCAGAAATCTAAAAGGTTAAAATTAGAAAATTTTAGACATTTGTGTAAATAAGTTTCTAAAATAGCCATATGAAGTCATTATCTCTAAAATAATTGGATCTTCTTTAGGCCCAATTATATAGGAAATAACCTATTTAATTTTTGGAAGCTCAATAGAATATGACTTGGCTTATAGTCTCGTGCAAAGAATCCATAGACTAAAATCAGCTATAAGATGGTAGTCAAGATCCCACTACTACAATTTTGGGTTTTCGTGATGCCCGTAAATAGTAAAATATTTTGATAATTAAAAAAACGTCACAAAAGATAAAAATGCGTTTTTGGCGGGAAAAAAATGGAGTTTTCTATATTTTTTACTTTCCGTGCCGTTTTTTAACCGTCGTGAAAAGTAGGAAAAAAATATTTTTTTACGTCACGAAAGGGCGAGGCTCGTTTTTTGGCGGGAGAAGACATACGTTTCCAAAATTTTTAACTTCTCGTGAGGTTTTTTTAACCGTCACAAAAAGTTGGAAGAAAACAGTCTTTTCATGACGTTTAAAAACTGTGTTTTTTGCAGGAAAATATGGAGTTCTTCGGAATTTTTTACTTTTCATGACGTTTATTAAATGTCACGAAAAAGTTGGAAAGGTGAGACTTATTTTTGCGAGAAATACAGAGTTATCCAGATTTTTTTTTGGCATTTTGTGACGTTTTTTAAATGTCAGCAAAAGTTGAAAACTAGATCTTTCATGATGTTTTTTTAAACATCACAAAAAGGTGCGACACGTTTTTGGCGGCAAATGATGTAGCTTGCAAGAACTTTTTCTTTTTGTGAAGTTTAAAAAACGTTATGAAATGGTGGAGCGAGATTTTTGGAGAAAAAATATGAAGACTTATGAATTTGCTGTCATTTGTAATGTTTTTTAAACGTTATAAAATAGTGAGCCGTGTTTTTTTGGGAGGAAAATGTTTCTCTATTTATGATAAGTTTTTTGTCAATTTATGACATTTTTTAAATATCATGAAAAGTGAATATGTAATTTATAATTTTTTAAAATGTTGTAAAATATTGAATACATTTTTTTCAAGTGAAGTAATATATATTTACAGATGCGATATTTTTTTGTACTTTATAACAATTTTTAACATCATGAAAGGTCATAAAATTTATAGATTTCATGAAATTTAAAAAACATCACAAAATGTTTTACACATCTTTTTTTCATTTTCGAAATACTCTATTTCTTTACGGACGAGCTAAGACGAATGAAAGTAAAGGAGCTGCTAAATAGAGTAAGGACTCTGGCGCTCAAGTCAGTAGTTCGCTGATCTATACTCGAGAGAGAATATAGTTCTGCATACCTGAAAATGAGGTGTGAGATCTCTATTTATAGGTTGGGCTTCCAATAGGATATTAGACGGGCTTCCAACGACTCTCCCACATCCTGAGAATCGCAACGTGTTGTCTTGAATTTTGTTATACTTTTGCACCTGTTGAAGCTAACTCAGATGACTAATGTACGAGTTGTTGGTCAGCTCAGTTGATATCTCAAACGATCGAGGTATGAGACTAAAATTAGCAAAGCATGAAATATGCATCTCGACTGTCTCTAGTAGTTCAACTCGATCTCTATGAAGATCCAAGCTATCATTGCTTATGTGTGTGAGTTGGGTGTGAGTCATTATGCTAACGAGTTTTCAATGTACATTGATTTTTTTTAATTTATGTCTTCAATTTCTTCTCTGCTATGATAAAATTAAATTTTATATCTTTCGTTCTCAGGATCGTTGAATTAAGTTGTTTAGATTTAATTGTATACTTGTCTCGTTGATGTAAATAAATTTTTAGATTTTGAGAAAGATATTAAAATCAAAATTTTGATTTAAATAATAACACCGAACAATTAAAAATTTTATTTTTTACTCTTTCATTCTATCTATATATTTCAATATAAAAATTTTTTAAAATAAAAGCTTTAATTTGCATAATTAATTTAGGGAGTTAGTTAACCTACCTATCAAAGGTTTGACCCAAAATCTTTATAAAGTGATTTATAGACAAAACTCTTGAAGAAATCCAAGAAAAATAGAAAAGTCTCCCTTTCTCCCAATCAGTAGTCATCGGTAGTCATCGCATATAGAAGAAATAAAAGTTCCTATTTTTCTCTCCCCATAGATGCTCACAAACTAATTCGTTGTAGATTGAAATATCAAACACTTGGTTTGCTGTAGATCGAGAATAGCAAGAAAGATCTCGTGGAATCAACAAATCTAAAGATAAGAGATCTGATCCCTATTTTTTTCAAAAAAAATATCTTTTTAATTAAAACCTATGTGATCTGCTTTGTAACTAGTTCAACCTGCTTTATTTACTTCATTTCTCTTATTTTATAATATAATTTATTATTTATTAGAATCTTTTATCTTATTATATATTTTTTTATCTGTCTATTTAAAATTAAAATTTAAGTATATTTATTTTATCTTTTTATTATATAGATAAAATAAATATTCCTTTCTCTTATTTTATAATATAATTTATTATGTCGGGTATTTTGTCCTAATACTCGTAGTTTGTAAACAGTGAACATTAATACATGTGAGGTTATTTGGACAAGTGTTGAAAGTGAATTTTTTAAACTTTAATTCCAATAAATTACAAACCCTTGGTTATGTGTAGACATAAACTGGATCGCCTAAACAGTCTATAGTACATGGATCAAGTTGGTTACTTTTTCTTGGAGACAGTTTTGAATACGGCCTGCTTTATGATTGTTACAAATTTTGGCTTGGTTTTTGTTTTAATAGAAAATTGATATTTAAATTTCTTTTAATAAAAAATTAGTTTTATAAAAGTTTTATTTAAAAATCAATATTAGTGGAAAAATCCAACTTCAAAATTGGATTTTCCCACTAACTAGTGATTTTTGAAGTGTTTCTTCAAGGCAATGACACCTATCTTTTACATAATAGTGGGGTTTAAAGAGGAAGGTCCTTGCATGCCTTTGGTCTTTATATAGGTGATGAAGATCACTTGGAGGACTAATGCTTCATTGCATAAGTACATAATTTTTCCACTCAAATTTCTATTGTTTTCTCATAGCCATTAGTGCTTTCCCTTTGCTTCACTCAAAATTGGGTCCCACAACCGTATTCATCAGCCCGAGGATAGCACGGATTCGCCGTTGGTGGTCCCATTGAGTTAGGAAAAGAAGTTATAGTGAAGGTCTTCAAAGGTGTAAAGTTAATCAGTTCCTCTTTATTTTTTCATCTTTTTTTTTCCCGACATGCTTATTTTAGTTAAATTGATCCATTAAGTGTATTATGATCCTTAGCTTCCGTTGTGCATATCAAAAAGTTCTTACATATTATTTATTAGAATCTTTTATCTTATTATATATTTTTTATCTGTCTATTTAAAATTTAAATTTAAGTATATTTATTTTATCTTTTTATTATACAGATAAAATAAATAAATATATTCAATTTAAAGGGTTATTTCCATTTGTTTTGTTTTTTATTCATTTAAAATTCGTTTCTTTTCTTTTATACATTTATTTTACATTTTAATTATTTATTATGTGTTTAAATATTTTTTTTCTGAAATTGTTATAGGAAGAAAATAGAGATCAGACTAAGCAAT